AAAAGACACGAATGATGTCCGTCTAAAGCTCAGACGAGAGTCACTAGCAGTAAAATTTGAAGCTTTTTACAGGGTTTATACGATGGTACTGTACTTTTAGGTAGGGTAGTTGAAAAATCTACTAAAAACACACGGGCCTGTCCAACGTATAATTAGTTCAGGAAATAATATACAGGGTGACAATTTGAAAACTTACCACCCCCCATATCTTAGTAAATAAACGAGATATTTAAAAAAATCAAAATCCGTTTCGGTAATTCGGAGGGGGAATCACAATGACATAGTTGGCGACACACCCCCTCCAACCCCCTGCGCCACAGCCACCCCAACTTTTAAATCTTAAATAGTGACCCCCCATGTGTGATACGTCGTTGGAAAGCTCTGAAAAAATGCTTTCCAACCATACCAATAGCATTATATTTAGGTTAGTAATTATCGTGCAAATCAAAAAATAAACTAATATGATACATTTTCTAAAGTTGGCTTTTATTTCAATAAATGTTCAAAATGTTTTCCGTTATTGGTAAGACAGTATTACTATGCGATCAAAAATGAGTTGCTGTCGAGTCGCCCTTTGAAATTTTTGTTTACATGGAAAATCGTATTTAACTTGGACTTCCAAAGCCGACTCGACAGCAACTCATTTTTGATCGCCAGTTATAATCTATTCTCAAACTCTTGTCGAACCTTTTCAAATGTTGGTTTTGCAATATTTCGACATTCTTGAATTATTCTCTGTTTTAGTTCGTCTATGTTCGCCGGTTGCGTTTTAAATACGACAGATTTCAAATGTATCATATTAGTTTATTTTTTGATTTGCACGATAATTACTAACCTAAATGTAATAAATGTAATGCTATTTGGTATGGTTGCAAAGCATTTTTTCAGAGCTTTCCAACGACGTATGGGGGATCACTATTTAAGATTCAAAAGTTGGGGTGGCTGGGGCGGCAGGGGTTGGAGGGGGTGCGTCGGCCAACTATGTCATTTGTGATTCCCCCTCCAAATTACGAAACGGATTTTGATTTTTTTAAATATCTCGTTTAATTTACTAAGAATGGGGGGTTGGTAAGTTTTCCAAAATTGTCACCCTATATCACTTCCAAGGAACACTCTAACTTTTGTAATTATGAACCTTTAAAGGTTGGTGGATCTCATAAATATCCTGGTCAAGTTCGTGAATCAGCCAATTCCGCCATATTGGAACAAAATGGTGGAAAGATAATGAAAAATAAATAAATATAAATAAGTTCAAAGACAAAGAAACTGTGATAGAAGAAGTTCTACTTGCATACTTGCAGTTTTGTATGCATTTCATGAGCAAAGTATGTTTTTTCACTCGCCGGGTTTGCGCACTCGCCTTCGGCTCGTGCGGCAAATCTTCTTTCTCGTAAAAAAAAATAAGTTACTTACTTGTTGCATAAATAACTATTATTTTATTAGCAGAAACTTGTTTACGGATATTCTGAACTCGTTGGAATCTTTCCTTCCGAAAGGAAAATATGCGCTATTATAGTTGACATTGCTTCTTCAGGTTTTCAGATATTGAAAAGCAGTTTGTTATGCATTCGATTCTGTATTTTGTAAACATTTGCAACTATCACGAAAAATCTGCTATAACGTTATTTGCGTAAAAGTCTTCCTTGGAACACTAGTGGCTCGGGATACCAATATTGTAAACCTGGAAGTCAAATAAGAGTCCGTTGGTTTGTTCGTCTGCTCGTTCAGGGTAAGAAGTAGTACAACGTTTTTCTGCTAAAACCTAAAGTACCAAATATTGCCAACAAAGAATCGAGGGTATCCATGCTTTCTTGAACTCAAAATGGAGTGGACATCGAAGAAATTAGGGAGAATTATTAATTCTCTCTAATTTCTTATTGTCAACAAATGCCTATCTGGTTTGTTTTCTAAACTGTAATATTTTTTATTAACGTAAACTCGCACCTGAATATCACTAATCGTTAATCAATAATTATGTCTTATTACAGAAGCTATAATTCCAATATTACAAACAAATGTAGGTAATTACCTTACAACGTCTGTGCTGTATATCTGTAAATATCAAATATTTGTCAAAAATGTAAAATATACCTACAGACTATTTATATCGTTCCTGAGTCCATTCATCTTATTTGTATTAGTATCGTAGTGTTCGTTTCTTTTATTGCAATTACAAATAGATTGTTCCGTATTTGAATAAATTCATTTCAGAATCAGAAACTATGTTGGTTGCATATACAGACCGATTCAAATTCGTAGTTTAAATTTCGCAAAATTGCGTATTTTGATATTTAACACAATGCTGTTTGGAAACTGAAAAAATGTCGACTACTTTCAGAGATATCCGGGAAGTACTGAAGTTATTTAAAAATAAATTTCAAAATAAATTATGGCCACCTTTTTCCCTCTACATGATGGTATTTCTAAATTTTAAGTCTGACGTTTCCGAGGACGTTTCGTCTCCGGTTAACCATCATCAACTGTTTTTTTTTTATTGAAGCCATTTCCTTTTTTTTTTCAATAAATTTCAAAACGCCATTTTGTTAAGTATCAAAATGCGCAAATTTGCCACATTTAAACTATTTACCTATCACGCATATTTTCCGATATTCCCATGGTGACCATGGAATTTGAATCGGCCTGTATATACGAAAAAATTTGGTTAATCAAACCAAAGAGACTATATGTCTAGGGGAACAGTCCAAACCTATAAGTAGGTATATAACTTTTTAAAGAAACGTTTATTTATGATTGCGGCTATAAAAAATGATTTGAATATAAAATACCTATAAGTTTTATATTAAAAGGTTCTTTGCATTAGTATTTTCATATTTCCTACTTACTTTCAATACATTACGTATGTACGTTATATCAAAGATTGTAATAACATTTGCATTTCCTTTTGTCGTAATCAATATCGAAAAGTTTCGCATAATCATCCAGATAGCAGACGCTCTCCTGAGAGACCTTATGAAATCTAGTGTTTGTGGGGATATTGTGAATTAAAGTTAGCATAAGCAAAATAATTTAGAAAATCAACCGAATTGGTCGATTAATCATGATGATGACAAGGCCGAAGGCACCAGTGTAAGCGTATGTTCACATTATGATTTACTACACTGAATAACTAAGTGTAGAGAATAGCTCAGGTATTCAGTCGTTGTCAGGTGTGGTGTTTATTAAATTAGAACGGATTAAGTTAACCCGATTAACCCCTGGTATATAATAAGGCTATACCACAAATAGCATATACCAAACGTTAAAAAAAACAAGGACTCTCATTGAAGATTTTTATTATTTTCAGATGCATTTTAACATACGAAGTGGAATTTCGACCACAAGTTGAGTCTTGTAATCGTACGAAATTTAGAAGAATTAATCATAGGGATACGATTTTCCTGTCTTATCATCATGCAGTAGAAGGTACCGTATATACGTTCGGGCATTATATATGAGAAACAGTTTAACCGCAATTGCGAAATATCTACCAATTAATAATGTTGGCAACGACAGCTTACAATTTGGGAAATCTCGTTTTCACATGAACGATTAGGTACGTTTGGGATTACTTAAATAAATGGTGACATAGTGATAATTGGTGTACAGAGTAACATACTGCTTTGCTAATTAACTTTTGCCCAAGGTTCTGTTTTCATTTAAACTTTTTGGACAGCGACGTATGAAATTATGATATCGTGGTTACTGATAAACTTGCGATATTTTACCACTCTTTTCTTAGGTAACAACTCAGTGGAAGAATGGACTCAAGGATGGTACAGAGTCCGAGCTGTGGATTATTGGAATGTACCAGGAAGATATTCTAAAGTAATTCGATATTCAGTAAAGTAACATGCGTCGTGTATTACTTTCCATATAGGTTTAGTTTTCATTAACTATGAGAATGAAGAAATGTAACTTAGTGGCCAGTCCAATAAATTAACAGGTATTTGCACCTGCTTAAATAAGACACCATATCTTTTGTGTTAAATGTAAGTATTACCACAGATTTAAACAGTATTACTATTGTACCTGTTTCAAAGAATGTTATTATTATCTTTGAATATAGAAATGATAGGTTATTACTATGACACTATCATATGCTACTGTTTGCTCCATGTTAGGTGCCAATGAGCTATGATCAATGAATAAAGAATACCAGGAAGGAGAATATCAACAATATACGTGCGACCCCGATGGCTTTTGCAAATGGCGGACAGTAGTTTCCTGTTCCAGTGGCGTACCTACCTTACAGTTGTAGAAGGATACAATTATAAAGAATTTTATAGGAAAACACTATGTCCTACGGGCAAGCTTCGACACCTTATTCTTTCACTAAAATGAACCCATATTAGTGCCAACGGCATCTCTTGTATTAACGTTCACAATTTGACACGGCAAGGTATACATATTGATCCTACAATCAAATTTTTAGCTCCAATATGGCAGATTGTGATGAGTTGTCGCCACTGTCTCTATAAAGTCACTGTAGTTTCAGTATATCCAGCAGTGAAGTACTGCTGTATACACAAAACTCTTCGAAGCATATAACCTAAAGGCTTTGAGAGAGAATAACATGGACTCAGATACATCCATGCCCGTTCCGGACTCCTCAAATTTTGATTGTTGGGAGAAAAATGTCCAGGCGGTGAATAATGACCCCAACCGGGGATTTCTCCAACTTCGAGCTTTTCTCGGAAGCATTGTCCACAGGCTGGGGGGCATGTTGTAGAAACAAAAGGGCGCGGGGAGAGTGGTCGGCAAGCGAACAATTACCCCGCATTCATTTTCTGACACTCCAGGCCATCCTCCTAAGGCTAAAATGTTTCGCTAGAAGTTTAAAGAATCATGCTCTCATTGTCAGATGCTACAATACCACCGACCCGCCGCCATCGCATGAGCAGTGTGCAGTACGAACACTTGAACAAACTAGCCAGGGAGATCTGGCAATGGTGCGAGGAACGAAATGTTTGGATATTCGCTTCCTATATTCACACCAAGGACAATTGGGAAGGGGATACAGAATCTCGCGCCCTTCGTCCAGAGTGGTCTTTAGCGGACTCTGTCTTGGAGAAAATAAAGAACAAACTGGGAATACCAGATATTGATTTGTTCGCCTCCATAGCCAATCGCAAATGCGAAAGGTGTGGCAATTTGATCCAGAGGCAGTAGCTTGCGACGTCTTTACTCTATCATGGAGTAACTTAAATTTCTACGTTTTCCCCCTTTTTCAATCATCCTAAGAGTATTACAAAAAATTAATACAGATGAAGCTAAGGGTATCACCAATGTGGGAATTCTTTATGTTTAACACTCAAAGCTCAAAGCTTATTTAAAGCTGCTAATAAACATTTATTTAAAAACATTGCCAACGTTCATTCTAATCGCTTTTTTATCTGTTATTATTTCCGTCGTCCTGGAAACAATGATAGTAGCGGATTGCATGGTCGCCACATATGTTTTTTATCCTCTTACAGCCAGGAAGCCCACCCGCTTGCATCCAAACTTACCCTGGTAGTATGTAGGTAATCCGCAAAGCATTAACACTACGGGGTGTGCCTGTAAACGCCGCCGATATTTGTATAAACTTTCTTGCGAGTTTCGGAAGTTACTATCTCACAATATGACAGTAGGTACATTCAGAAATTGGTGGAATTTCCGCGAAGCTTCAAGAAATCACGTCTTCCAGACATCAACCCAAGAAGTGATTTATTTCCTACAAACACATCAGTATCACAACAAAATGTGCTTTCGGAACAATCAACTCGTTTAGAGCAGCGCTGTCATTAATTCTACCAGGAAGAAACCTAGGTGAGGATCGAATGCTCAAGATTTGTGAGGGGGTGGCAAGATTAAGGTCACCAAAACCGCGATACAACTGCGTTTGGGAACCTAGGTAGATATTTCATTACTTTGAAACACACCCGGCGGAATCTCTAGAAGCCATGAAGTTAATAACCCTCCTCAGATTAGAAGCAAAAGTGGCAAACCATCTCTCCTATCAAAATATCAAACATTTAAACTTCGGATGACGGAATGCAAATTATAATTCCCGACAAGATCAAAACCTTTTACTAGGGTCAAGTGGCGCCAATCGTGTTTGGTTCTACCCATATTTAACGATCTTCCCCATTTCTGGGTTTTCTCCTGCTTACAGAGGTATAGTTACCTATATGGGAAAAATTACTTGGGAAATTTTAACTTTAACCATTGAATAACGAATTCAACGCTTTAACTCAAAAGGAAATGTACAAAAAAGGTAAACACGTAAAGTAAAAATGTATCAAATACCTTCGAAATACAGATATTAAAATTCACAGCAAATAACAAAATGCGTTGCTAAGTTACGATATTACCCTCTAGCTTGGAACACCAAATTAGCGCAGCTTTTGTAGTTTGGTGTTTACGTTTGAATAGGTAAATTGAATGGGAGCTGAATTTAGGTCACATGTTTCACTAAAAACTTTCTCACAATATTATTCCCCTTTATTTATATTTTTAAATAGATACTTAAAACGTCCCTAATACGTGTGCCTGGTTGTGACATGCATTTACACTCTCCCCGTTTCGTGCAACCCCTATGGGACCCCGAACGACTTTACCTAAACTTTCGTGAGTAAGTTTTATAAACATAGGTAAGAATATTCATGAAAACGGTTGTTTATGAGACAGCTCCTAGAAATGCCAAATTTGTATTTTAGACACGACAAGACTATAACAATGAAATGTTTCTAGAAAATGTCGTTTGAACAATACTAACCAAGGCGGTGCACGCATCCTCACATGAAATAGTCACGATTTTTTGCATCCTTCAATTAAAAAACCAAATATCGCGACTCCCATCAACTTTTGCAACGTCAAATAACAAAAAAACGATAACGTGGATTGAGTAAGACGTCTACTCGATCAGGGTGTACTGCCTCTGTCTCTACAGGATGTAGTTTATAGAGGGCGAACGGACTAGAAATTTACTAGCGTCCAATAACAGTAAATTCACCCGATGTCGTTACTTTTAAGACACTTTTTACATCCCATATTTCAAATGCACTACCCAAATCAGTATTAAAATTTAAAATGTGACAAGAATATAAAAACGATCAGCGTAGGTAGGTATATATTTTGTAAACATATTTTACTTCTTTAAGACACATTTTTGCCATTAAAGCTTTACCTACTGAATAATCGAGATCAATTGCAAAAAGTACCTAAAGCCTGTTTTGCATGCTGAAAGTTATTTCATGAAAGTCGAAGGTGAAATAACTTTCTGGAAATTGACAGATGTGCTTTACATGCTGCAATTCTATTTCACTTTCAAGTGAAATTTTGCTAATACCAACCTAAAAATTATAGATTATATCGTGTAGGCACGAGATCCTTACTCTATTCTCTTTCAAATGAGCCGCCTATCGTCGAAGTCTATACAAAATACTATGAAAAATGTGGAGTGTATACAAATACATACAAATTTTGAAATGGGCATTAGTTTTACTTTTATTCGAAGTGTCTACATATGGAACGTTTTATAAATGCTTTCGTAAATAGCATTGCGCATTGTCTACATTAGAAATTTCATTGAATACCTTCATAAATAAAACATACAGCTTGCGTAAACAGCAATTTTGAAATCGGTATTAGTTTTAGTTTCATTCAAGGTGCCTACATATATTTCGTTTAACTGCTTTTATAAATAAGAAAGTTGCCATTGCGCATGCGAAAAACCAAATTTTAAAGCTGGTGTTAGATTTGCTTGTATTCCAAGTGCCTATGTATTAAATTTCATTTAAATGCGACAGTAAATAAGGAAGTTGGCATTGCGCATGCGCAAAACCAAATTTTGCAACTGGTGTTAGATTTGTCTTTATGCCAAATGCCTATATATAAAATTTCTTTTAAATGCCTTTATAAATAAAAAAGTTAGCATTGCACATGCGTTAAACCAAATTTTGACGCTGCGCATGCACAAAACCAAATAATATGGGCATGCACGGAATCCTTGGATCAAGCCCTTTCAAATGAGTCCTATATCGCCAAAATCGGTTCAGTGTTTAGAAGGAGTACGTGTGACGGACAGACGGACGGACGGACGTCAAAGTACAGTCAATAGCGATTTTTCATTTTGAGGAAAATACGCTAAAAAATCCACACCATTAAAGGACTCCCGTTACAGTTGGCACACTTTCCTGTACAGGGTGTAGCACCTAAGATCCCTCGGATTATAACTCCTTTAGCATAAAAGATCCCGAAAAAAGTCTTAAAGCAAAATTGTACACAATTACCGCCGGCATGTTTCTAAAATATTTTTGATCCCCGTTTGGCGTATCAAACTTGCATTTTTTTAAAAATGCAACACCCTATATTTTATTACTGATTTGGAGGGTACTTGTTCAAGTACTTATTTTTTATGTAACATGTTATACCCTTAACTTTAACGATTTCGCTGTTATAACCTTTTTTCGTCAAAATTGGACAGTTTTTCGAATTTAAAAAAAAAATTTATTTATTTATTATACCTCTCTTGTTCTGGGCCCTCAACATGCTTGCGCCCAATTACAGAGTGACCCGCATAATGCTTTTTAGAGGTGCCTCTGCAAAAGGTCTTAAGTTGTTCTATACTACTTCGGTATTTACCTTACGAATTAGGAAAACTGCAGGAAAACCTAATTCGGAGTAGCCGGCAGAATACTTGAAACTGGTCTAAGGTAATTTCTATCTCTGCCACAGATGAAAAATTCACCTCAACCCAGTTTCGAACACCCGACCTCCGGATTTATAACTCAACGCTCTACCATTAAGCCATAATGCCGGAAACTAAATCGCGCAGGGGGCTAATTTTTGGACGAAGGCACAGGTTAAGCCCTCTTCCACAATCACATAATTTTTTTAGGTACTTTTTCGAAAAAATTAAATTTTTGATTGAATGTCATACTTTGAAAAAATTTTAAGTGGCACCCCCCTAAACAAATTATACCTCTGAGTAGCCAAAACTACACTAATATAAACAAAACTACACATTCCATAAGACAATTGTGATTGTGATTGTGACTGTGACGGTGATTATGACTATGACAATGACTACGACTACGATTATGAGTTTTTTTCGAATTCGAGTATTTACAACCCTTCGATTTTTTGAACTGACTGGCGGCTAATTTTAAATTTACTGTGGTCTCTGTGAGTTGAACTCTAACAACGCTCCTTGCGAATTTTTTTTGATTGCTCACAATGAACTAACTAGCCTTACCGCGACTTGACGCATAATGCCCTGCGGTTCCTCGCAACATGCTCTTCACATTACCTATTTTTTTTTCCGAAAACACTCTTATCGACCGTATTAATGGAAGTCTGTGGTGATAAATTAATATGCTAACACGTACGACCCTGATCTGCCAATGGAACTCCCAATGAGATTACTCTATTCCAAAGTTTAGGTTATTTATAACCAGTGAGTTGAGATTGCTGTTAGGATCCCGTTTTGTCGGACTATGCCCGGCCTCCAGTTCCACAAACCTTGCGAATTCTGTATAATGTTTCTGTTTTCATGCTATGAGCTGTTCTTTTAGAAATTCCTGTGGAACCTATGATTCGACAGTTGCTGAAAGAAAAAATTGGCTATACAGTTTAATATTAGATTGTAAATGATACAATTATTTTTAAGTGTCAGGTTACGTTGCTTTATCTAGACAGTACGCAACCGTTTAGTATATCGGCCGTGGTTAGTACCCGACTCTGATATTGAAAGCATTCAGTTTGGAAAATAAACAACGATTTTGCATTTTTCTGGTTTTTTGTTCGGGAACTTTTTTTGTCAAAGTACGAGTGAGTACTACAACCATAAAATAACACACTCATTTATTTAGTATGCTAATCTGTCTGTGAAACCTTAGTTTACCTTTTTTGTAACTAAATAACGCAATTAAGTATAGCTTCTAATCACAGTTGTGGGCAAAATCAGTATTGAACTAAATGCAAACGGGCACATTTTAAGAATTTATTTAAAGATCAAGATTCGAGGGTCTACCATCATGGTTTATTCACAAACCGGTATAGTACAAAGGTGCCACTCATAATTTAATCAGATCTGTTAAGGCAATTACATTTGCGATGGAACCACTCAATATACGATGACACTCGAGAGTACACATCTGGATATCCACGTGCACAATGCATACCCCATGACACGATTCCTATTTGCTTTCTTTCCCCTCCAATGTTCATTACTAATGGACCGCCAGAGTCATGAACACAAAAACCTTCACCCGCTTTGGTGAATGTACACAGTTGATTCATACCAACACTCAACTTGTAACCTTGGCATTCTTCTACAGTGATTGTTTTTAGCGAAATTTGTTGCAAATCGTCCGGAATGGTGTCACCAATGACATTAAAACTTGTGAAACCCCATCCTGTCAATGTACAATCTTGACCACCACCAACGGAATCATCACCGAGTTTGATAAAATTTACTGCAGTGGAATAAGAAATGGGAGCTATTTTCAGAATAGCTACATCATTTTTTATCGTTCTTGAATCGTATTGTTCGTGAATATGTGCTTCAATTATAGCGTGTTTTGAACCACCCTTGCTTAATTTAGTAGAACCAATGTATATGGTTAGGTCGTTTAGAGGAAATCTACACAAAATTAATGGTCATAACAAAAAATTGTACTCGCTAGTCGCTATACATACCCATCCACACAATGAGCAGCAGTAACTATCCATTCATGATCTACGACTGAACCGCCACAATTATGTTCTCCAAGGTAACTTATAGATACCATGTACGGATATTGATTATCAGGTGCGTTCGTTCCTCCGATTATTCTATTTTGCAGAGAAAGTCCCTCATTGACTGTTATGAGTGCTAGATATAAACGAACCAGTTAATCCTACAGTAAGGCAATGGGTTACTCATACCTGTAATTACAAGTATTGTGGCCCTCAGTGTCCCCATGTTTGTAGATATATCTTGCTACGCAATACTACCTCAGCCAGGCATTTATGAAGTAGGTATTTATTGACTTAACGTTAGCTTTTATCAACGAGTTAAGAGGATAGATTGGCGATTTAGTACTAAGCAACACGATAGTAGACAGCAGACCGCAAGTCAGATCCTTTGAAAAAATGAAAATTACCCATGCTGATTGATGGCGGAAATTTTATTTCCAACTAAATTTTTCCTCGCGACTTAAGTAGTACGCTCAAGATTTGATTCCGATCTGGCCAAATGTTGAATCTAAACCAACCGGGGATACACAGAGGCACATAAAGATTTCATCCAAATCCGTTTAGCCATGTAGGAGGAGTTCATTAGTCACAAACATACGAACAGTAGAATTTTACATATAAAGAAGATAGAGCACGAAAACTAAGTACCGAAAAGCCCTATTGCGATTGTCGATGATGAAATTCGCTGAAACATTCAAGGATCATACCACTATCGTGAAAAAAATGTCGGGATATTATATATATATATATATATACCGGGGGTGACCTGAACAACGCCACCTAGAATTCAATAGTAATTTTCATTTCTGATTATTGGCTTCATAATTATTTGAGATAAAGTCTATTTAGGTTTTTTTGTAGAGAACAAAATTACGAATTCATCAAACGAATAGATTTAATTTTTTGAATGAAGACCAAGAATTGGTAACTAAATTTTGCGCTTTTAAGAAAATCAGTGGTGCCATGGCATTTTAAGATCAAACAAATAAAAGCTAACAGCAAATTGCATGGCATTACCGACTTGATAAAGGCGACAGTTTTTAATTTTCAAATTTTTACTGGTTCTGAATTTATAAAATAAAAGTTTCAGTTCAAGGAGGACAATAGTATGTCATATTCGAATTTCTCTCTACAGAGAAACCTAAAGTAGACTTTTATTTAAAATAATCAGGGGAGCCAATAATAGAAATAAAAAAATTACTATTGAAATTTCATATGGTGCCTTCGTCAGCGTTGCCAGAGACAGAGAGGCCTGAATTTACATTGGATTTTTGCAAATTTGAACAGACTAGCTCCATGCGCTGGGATATTATCGTATTCAGGGACAGTAGAACGGAACGACGACGGAATTTTTAAAATTTTGTCAGTTGTTTAATCATTTTATTTCCATAGTAAGTCGAGCATTCAGGTTGTTAATCAGAAACGGAGTAACGAAAAAACAAAGAATTTTTAAATGGCTGTGCACTTTTCATATTAGGCTCATTTAGTAGAGATAATACAAGAAATTTCAAAATAACTTATTAAATCAACAATTAATGCTAGATATCTTACATCAAAATAAAACAACGCCTTGTAATAAGCCATTATTGTCACTTGACCAGTCAATGTGTTTGCCCTATTTCGTTTGGATCTTTGTTGTTGCCATTCAGTGAAATTAGTAACCTCCAGGGGAGATAAGATGTTGGTATTAGCAGTAGTTTTGGTAACCGATAGATCACTATTAATATGAATTATCTTGTTTATCGTATACCTACTTGCGATTGTGTAAGTTTATACATTTAATTCGGCCGGATTTTCCAAAGTACTACGAACGTCCTTGGTGGCCGGTACAACTAATTTATGTTGAGCTCGATTTTGAGATTGGCTTTATCACTTTTTGCGTTGTTCGCTTTCTTTATGCGTGAAGATTTTACCTAAATTTAACAGCTCCAGTTGTTTCGATATTATTTTGTTGCTTAATTGCGATAAGTTGGCATTACGGTTTTAAGAAATTTTTATTGAAAGTTTCAAAAGCCTCGTGAACAGATTAAAACCCGAACGTGGGTATCACTTTCATTTATCTTGGTTGATTTACTCTTATTTTCCGGCTTGTTTACATTTGAGATAAGGATGCTTGCAAGTTGCAGACCTTATACCCAATTGTTAATTTGATCGGATTTGTTTAATTCATCAAACCAACGATCAAACATATCGAGGGAAATTTCAGCACTCGGTAAAATATAGGCTTTCACAAACACCCCGATAGATGATTGAATCTTCACATCTTTTGACTTTTTTTGAACACACTTCAATGGGGAGAGATATATTTCAGAAGTACTTGACAATTATTTCATCGTAGGTAAATGTTCAGAAGTTAACAACCTTTGAATAAACACGAGTACTTACTTTGGTTTCCGAATGTAATTCTTTTTGTAATATTCATTAATTATTGTCAATGACCAGTAAGTTGTTCCTGAATTAAAAAAAATTAAGTAAAAATAGTAAATTATCGGTGAAATCAATAAATCATTAGCGACTTATGAAGATAATTGCTGTACATGGCATTATCATTCATTGTGACGTTATAAGATTGTGCAAATTCCTATAAAATTTGTAAACGGTTTTTCCCGATAACTGTACGCAATATGTATATACCTTCAGCCGGGAGCGAACGAAGTAAATAACTGACCAGTTTATGTCATTTTTGGAAAAACCGTGGTGGATTAGTTAATTATCATCACCAGATGTACAAAAACCGTTACCTAATAGTTCAATAATAAATTTTGTCAAATAATTACAAACTGATAACGGTGGTTGCTTAGAACAAAAAAGATATACACTACAAGTGTCTTATGGCACCGATGTTTATTTTCCCCTGAGATGGTATTATTCCAAGCGTACTGCCTGGTCTTGTTAAGGAGTAGCGTACCACTCACAAGCAAAAATTAAATTTTTTGTTTGGGAAAGAAAACGACTCTTTCTTATTAATGACACTTTCCAACCACTTCAGTTCCAGCAGAAAGTATGAGTGTAGTACTAGTACCTATAGGAAAACCCACTTAACAAAAAAATGAGTCTTCTTGTTATACGCTTAGTATATTATATACCATAACGCAGATTGGTATTCACTAGCAGGTAACATTTAAAACAGCATAACAAAAATAAAAACCAGTTGCTGCTGCCTATAGCCTCCGGTAGGCGTAGTACATTGCATTTTTACAAGGTGATCTTGTGTCGAAGTCCAATTATATTCAAGTAAAAACTTTGTTAAACAATGTAAGTGTTATTTATACCATTTATAATAATAATGTAATGAGTACCTACCTTTCAGGCACGGTATGAATTTATCGATTGTATCGTGCTGTTTATTGCTCCTTGGTTGGAAACAATGCGCAGGTGCTACTAACGGGGATGATGTAAGTCATAACTCGACCTCAAATGGGAATGATCAAGGTTTTGGAGATTGCGAGTGCGTGCCATATTTTAAGTGCAACGGTCCCACGCGGAACACAGGGTATGTTCATTTTGAATCAAATTTGAAAATACAATAATATACAATATGCAATAATTTATTCCCTGCGAAAATAATGAAATACTTGCATCCAGAGTTCTATTCCTCTCTAATTTTGCTAGCTGAACACACTATTTAAACCTTGTATGTACCTATAGGATAATTAGCCTGTGTGTGCAGTTTGTTTGGACAATTTTAACTTGACGCTATTTTAATCTCGTAGGCAATATTCACCGATGTTAAAAAGAGGAAAAGGTGTAACATAAGCATGTCGCTGAAGGTAACTGGGGTTCGGATTCGGATTCACAATTATTACAGTTGGCCAGTTAAGTTATACTAAATTATAAATTTATAAAAAAAAGAGAGTAAAAATCAGTAAAATGCATATATAAGCATAATGAGAACAATACAAATTAACTATGACGAACATGCCAAAATCTATTACTAAACAACAAAAATTATCAAACTACCCCTTATAAGTAAAAACTATAATCGTTATTCCTTTATAATTAATTTAGTAACAGGCCACAAAAATCATGATAAACATAACAACCACTTTTGCAAAAAGAATTCGAATGTTAGGGACGAACCACTCTTCAGCCATAGGGGTAGAATTACGACTTTTTTGGAACAGGATGGAAAAATTTATAAAATCATGCAAAAAATAACAAATGCTTCTATCAAGGCACATAGTTCAAATTCAGAGGCTAAAGGGACGAATCTATTCTCCAAAGATAGAGGTAAAATTATAACTTCTGCAATTTTTCATAAAATCATGTAGAAGATAAGAAACAATTACTTTAAAAAAAGTGTATTTAAGTCAAGCCAGCAGACAGAATAGACATTAAAAATATCAACGGAAAAATGTTTACCTATCGAAGTTGATGCATGATAGTATATTAAGGGACAAGTGTATAATCAAATCTTTAAAGCACGGGAAACTAGTTCAAGGGCACGACGCGAAGCGGAGTGCCTTTTGCAATTTAATTTAAAAATAAACGTGTAAACAAATATGGAAAACGTGCTTCTGGGTATGGCTATAGCATGTGCAAAACCAAATTTCATTTAAATACCTTCAGAAATAAGAAAGTTTGCAATTCGGTTTATGCGAGATGCGAAGAGGGCACTGTGAATGCTGATCGATTAGGCTCAACTTTTGGAATTGCGTTTTAGATGGCTAAAGCTATACGCATATTGAATTTCATGCATTTCGGTTCATAACTAACGGAGATGTCAAAAGGGCCTTCCTTATTTTTTGGCCTACATTGCCAATTCACGAACTCCGATCTACAAATTTGATAAAGAATTCACCTGCCAAATTTCATCGTAATCCGGTCCATTCGTTTACGAGACATCGTGCTAACGGACGGGCGGACGGACAGACAGACGGACCGACACCGCAAAATTAAAAACTCGCTAGGAGCTCGTTAATAAAGGAAATACAATGAAATCGTATTGACGTTATAAGGTCGATTCGCATTTTACGGAACGTCAACGTTACGTCACGGACCGGCAACGTCACGTAAATCTTGCTGCCAATTCACACTTTACGTTAATAGTTTGTTAGGATGGTTGCGATTGGATTTTTTATTCTGGACCATCTGTTCTTATCATGCTCAGATTAAATAAAACATTAGCATTAGCGTCACGTCAAAGAAACATTTGAAACTTATCTCGACGGTTCGTGACGTTGACGGTGCGTTCCGTTACGTCTATATGTGAATGCTATTATAAGAAATCATACAATAGTTTCACGTGACGTTGCCGGTCCGTGACGTGACGTTGACGTTCCGAGCCCGTTCCTATCAGGGTAGGACCCTGTGTAGCCTAAATTGCTTCAACCTCCTCGGATCCAGATAACTGTCGCCAAGGAGCTGATGTCTGTTTTTGATCAACACGTCACAGTAACAGACCACATGGGCTCTCCTAGAAATTCAATATGGTGCAAGTGATCGTTGACTATCTAGTGTCCCGTGAGAACACCAGTGATTTTCCTAATCTGATTTCTGTTCAGTTTTCGAAGCTTAGAAGACCCAGATTTATCAAGGCGCTATGGTGACCAATGGTGAAGCTGATATCAGCTCTCAATCGATCACCATATACAGAGTGGCGGAAAAGTATTAAATCAGCGAGCCTTAACCATTCGTTATATTGAAAAAGTGTGAGATGAAAGTTGTTTGATACTATATTATGCATGTTTTGACATTTGACGTACACGGATATTTTTTCGAATGACGTCATTTCAAGTTATGTTATGTTTTACATACGCATTGCTCAATGGTTTGATTTAATTACATTAAAACTAAAATATCTTGAAATCTGAGAATTTGAGAGTGTTAAAACCCTATACCATTTTGAAGCACCTCGTCTAGAGGATCATAAAAAAACTAAAAAAATACAGGGTGTTCAATTTAAAAAATGACAACTTGAAATGAAACTTTCATCTCACACTTTTTTCAATATAACGAATGGTTAAAGCTGTAGCTTACTGATTCCATACTTTTCCGCCACTCTGTATATCCATGCCTGTTTCCTTTCCCTTAGGGACCTGTCTGAAAACCACACGATCCCTTCAGGTTTAAGGCGATCTGAGTTCATCCACTGCCCCCTGTCCGAGAGAGGGCCTTTATAACCTCTTGGTCATAGTAAGACCGTTCCAGATCCGCCCGTGCCCAGGGCTGCCTCGATCCTTCCACTCGTTCCAATCCTTTGGCCATATAGAAGCACATACAAGTGCACCGTACAGTTTTATTAGCTTTATCATTACAGTGTAAAGCCATATATACTAGTCGAGGATACAAACCCCATGTACACCCAAAAGCCCTTCTCCAACCCGTTACAAATATACTTGCAGACGTTATAATTATACCCCTAGTGTAGATTCGCCCCTCTAACCTCTGAATCCGCAATATCTGCCTTGACAGAAATGTTTCTTATTTTTTGTATTATGTTATACAAGATTTTCCATCCTGTTACAAATATAATTGCAGAAGTTGTAATTCTACCCGTATCGTAGAAGGATGGTTCGTCCCTAATATCTTTTCGGAGAAGTGGTTGTTATGTTTATCATGAATTTTTCTGACCTGTTACTAAAGTACTTATAAACCACGAATAACGATAAGCCTCGGATTAAGTTATACAGGCTGTTTCACACAAATTGTTACCTAAAAATATTCAGAATCCCATTTATAATTTAAAGCCGAAAATTTGCACACCAACATAGTTTTTCATGATCTATAGACAGAAAATATTATCGTAATTGTTTAACTTCCGGTTTTACCGGATGTGGATAGCAATTTTCTTATTTTAAATAGAACACCTTGTATTTTATTGCATTTTCGAAATTTAAATAAAAATCTGCCTCGTTTGTTACCACATTTCCCTATATCCAGCAAAATCAACACTACGGACTTGACGCTACATAAGAATGATTTAAATGTTGATGGTCCTTCTACAGGGCGTTTTAAAACAAGTAACCAATTTTCATAACTTCAACTTCAAATCATCGATCAGTTATTTTTACATTCCCTATACCTATCGGTTATGATTTTCGTTTTATTTTAGATTTTATAAAATTGTGACTTATTGTCCATGTACAATTTTTTCCGACATTTGATAGTACAAAAAAAATACAGCAAGTTTCATTTCAAAAAATCAACTTTTTAAGGTTTGAAATAATTAAAATTGGCCTTTAGTTTTAAAACACCCTGTAAAAGGGCGATCAAAATTTAAATCATTGCCGTATAGCATCACGGTAGTATTGTTGATTTTGCAAGACCGTTTGACGTTCAAGTCAACGGAATCATAGGTACAGGGCCCTAAAGAAAAGTACTCAAACATTTTGAAAAATCTTGATAACTTGAAAACCTTTGCTGCTGGGTACCTATAGATAAGGAAATGTGGAATCAAACGTCGCAGATTTTCATGTAGATTTCGAAAATGCATTAAGATACAGGGTGTTCTATTTCAAATAAGTAACATCTGGTAAAACTGGAAGTGAAACGATCATGATAATATTTTCTTTTTCTTTTAATAAATCATGTTGGTATGCAAATTTTCAGATTTCAATTATTTATGGGAGTTCGAATACTTTTAGGCAACGTTTGCGTGTAACAGCCTGTATAGGTACTTATAGTAGGTAGTTACTTATCAGGGGTAGTTGTTAATTTTTGTTGTTTAGTAACGTTTTTGCATGCTCATAGTAGTTAATTTGGATTGTTTTCATTACGCTTGTATGCATTTTACAGCTTTTTTGAATAAATTCATAATTTGGTATAGTATAATTTAGCCGATCAACTGTAATAATTGTGAATCCGAATCCGAATCCCAAGCTAACTTCAGTGACTCGTACATAAGTTTGTCACAGCAAAAGCAATAGAAGTAGGTATGTGTACAAAAAAATTCTTCGTACAACTCCCCAATGCAACCTTTTAAAGGACCACATTAAAGCATTCTTTTACTAATGAAATTATGAATTATTCGTAAACATTAAAATCTTCAGAAAAGAGATAAAAATGTTGATCGCGAACTGGTTTATAGCTCGGTAATAGACGACACCAACGTCATCCGCAAACTTGTGAAAATAAGAATAACAACATCACAAATAAATTTTTGGTTTTTTGTTGAACAAAGTTTCATTGTTCCTTTTTTTTTTGCATGTGTGCTCATATTGACTTCAGATATTTCAAGAGAATAAGTATCAATTTCCAAATTTTGAGTGAATCTGTTAATAGGATACGTAGAATTTTCAGCCTTAGTTTTTAATTAAGGGCATTGGAATGTTGAGGTTTGAATCCTTAAAACATTCTCGTTCACAATTAAGTAGTTTATTTTGAAAATCCGATATTTCGCACGCTAATGTAGTCGTCGAAAAGAAAAACAATAGGTAAAGATAAAAACACCATGTGTTTTTATTTTCGGCGAAGTGTCCCTTTAACATTTGGTTCTATTGAAGAAGCGTCCTAAATATCTGATTTTCCAAATAAAGCAATCATTGTGAACGTATCTTTTTTTGTTTAGGCTTACAAACCTCAACGTCTCAATACCATTAATGCTATTTAACTAGTATTTTCCGGTTTGACCAGAAGTGACTATAGATTTCAAAATGTTAATGACTGGTATATTTTTACATTTTTGGATTCTATAGATAATTTTACACCTGATTTTTAGTTTTTGATAATTTATACGAGGTTGATCAACAAATTACTTAATAATTAACCGACATGCTAACAACAAATAATCAGCAAAATTATTTTTATTTATAGACTAGCAATTTGAAAGATATATACAGGGCGACCTGGTATAAATTACCTAAAGCAATATATCAAATGTAAAATTGCCTGTAGAATCCAAAAATGTAAAATTATTCGGAGCGCGCCATTTAAATTTCGAAATTTAGTGACTGAGGGTAAACTACCGTGTTACAAGAGAAGTTTAAATAACAAGCGCCATAATATCAAGCCAACGTTACCAGTTTGATTCATTTTTAACGCTCTTTAATGTTTCTCTATCGCGATGTTATAAATGCAGACCAGAACTTAAAAAAATGCATTTATATGTATTCTTTTTTTGCACATATCGTCCTACTCAACTACTCGCCGCGCAAAATTCAAAGAGAGACCAATGTAGGCAAATTTTGATTTTAATATTTTTAAACTTAAAAATATTCCTTCAATTGTAATTAAAAAGAAAATGACAAGGTCTTATTAAACAATTTCGATGTAACCTATTCTATTCTTCTGCCCATATGAATTTATGTAAAACGTCAAAGACTGAAAATAATTTGTTCAACTATTCACATTTTTAGGTGCGATGATTTTTTATCCGTTTGCTGTGAATCCAAGACCCAGTTTCAAGATGAAATCATTCCAAAAAAACATGATCGCGGATGCGGAAGGAGAAATCCCAATGGACTAGGGTTCTCTTCAAACGGTGACGCAGACCACGCACAATTTGGAGAATTTCCTTGGATGATGGCACTACTGGGCAGAGAGACAACGGAAGGTAATCTCAATGAGTCGTGGAGCTATCAATGCGGAGCTTCTCTTATACACCGCCAAGTTGTGTTAACTGCTGCGCATTGCATCTCTGGGAAATACATGATGTATAAAATACGTGCTGGAGAATGGGACACTAGAACCGAAAATGAATTCTATCCACGTCAAGAAAGGACCGTGAAAACTGCCATATTACATCCGGAGTACAGTAGTAGATCATTAACTCACGACTTCGCGCTTTTAATTTTAGAGTCGCCGGTAAAAATACAAAATAACATTGATGTTGTTTGTTTACCAGCTAAAGAAGAAATTATTGATAATATTACTTGTTACGCAACTGGTTGGGGAAGGGATAACTTTGGGAAAGAAGGAGACTACGATGTACTTTTAAAAAAATTGGAAGCTCCAATTCTGGACGGGACTACCTGTGAGTCGTGTCTTAGACATTCTCGTTTAGGCAGCCGTTTCAAGTTGCACGAATCATTTCTTTGCACTGGTGGCCAACCAGACATAGACATATGCAAAGCGGATGGTGGCAGTCCTCTAGTGTGTCCAATAAAAGGGAAATTAAATAAATACTATCAAGCCGGAATTATCTCTTGGGCTTTAAACTGTGTGGGAGTACCCGGAGTGTACGCTAATGTCATAAAGGCGCTTGATTGGATTGATAAAACTATGACCGACAATGGATTCGAAACTTCCTCATACAAATATTAAGTTTGAAGGCATTTTTTTTATTTGAGTAAAGCTTTAGATTGATTATAAATTTTGTAAATAAAACCTAACAAAAGCATTGTTTTATATTTTTTCGTCGTCGATGAAACCTCACAACATTAGAAAAAGATGCAATTATTGATTCTAATCGAAACGATCTCAGTATACCTACTTTACTAGACAAACCCTTAAACTGCAAGTTCTTGATCCTTTTCAATTATAGGCATAAGTATTTTCCTAATTCCTTTTATTAACGTTTCAGGTGCATATCCATAACATTTTTAAACCAAAAATAGCTGATAAAGCAAGTAGTCGAAGACATAAACATATTTATTGTAGGCGGTCGAACGGAGATAGATCCGGCGAGATGTGAAGAAATGCAAGGAGATTTAAAGAAATCCGAATCCTAGTGGACTGTAGATCCGTGATATCCAACTTATCCAAGCGCCTTCCAAGACAAGCGCGAGACCTGCCCGCAGCCAATTCTTCTGTCATCCCTACTTATGGAACGAAAGAATTGCTACTAAATATTGGTCTTCAGCGAAATTTTAGCTAGTACTTCACTATTGCTGATGCCCAATATGGACATCCCGGCTTCATTTTTTATTTCTGATCTAGAAAGTACCTACATTAAAAATGAAAAGCCCATGTATCTTCAATTTTTATTTGCGAGTAAAATATACCCAAAATAAATTATTGAAAAGCTGTGTTTTTAGTCCGAATTTGAAACGCTTCAGTCTAAATACGTCACAAACCTACAACCAATCACGTAGAAGTGAGCCGGCAACCTTGTGCCAGGGTCTGACGTGCGAAAGTTTGTGTTTTCATCCCCAGTTGAGGGCAACAAGCACCCGAGGGATTAGGACACACTCCTAGTCCTGTGTCCCTTGTTCAACTAATCGTTCGAGGTCGGCCTCGGCATGAGAATGTAGTGCGTGAGGCACTGGACGGGCCTTTCGAAATATAGGCACAGCATTGGGTTTGCCTTCCCAATTCCCGACGCGAAAACTTGCGGGAATTGGGCTTGTAGCTTCGAAGATTCTTCCTTGGTTAAGTGATGCACTGGAAGTTGCACCTGAAGTGGCTGAATCCATTCACGTCCCATAATAGAAGCGCACGACCCCGTGACAATGTAGATCGGTAGTTCATAGGAATTGTTGTTGCAGACAACAGGCACCGTTGCAGTTCCTACAGGAATGTTCGCTTTGCTTATATAGCTTACACCCCTCTGTTTCTCAAAAGAAAAAGAATGCGTCACATCGTTACCACCATAAATACAAACGGTCACATCCACTTTCGCTTCTTATCGCTGATGACTAATCTTTTATGGCGCCTCCATGTCTATCGGGACTTCTAAAATATTACTTTTCCACTTTTAAAACAAATGGAGAGAAATTATTGTACTCACAGTTCAGACAGTATATAATATATAAGTACGTAGGTACCTATACAGGGTTTCCGGGATGGAAATGTATAAAAATTTCAAACGAGTAAATAAAAAATCTGAAAATTTCGTCATCAAGGTAACGGGTCATAAAAATTGCATTTTATATGGTTTAGAACTTTTATACACTGGGGAGTTTTGGTGGGTCTATTCTATCAGGGGAGCCTTTACAGGCAGCACTTAGGCTCATCAAAGGCCCATTGTGCTAACCCCCTCTCTAAACAACCAAAGCTTAGAGCCCGTTCCCTTCAATGAAGGATAAGACCCTGTTTAGCCTTAGTTTCCTCACCTCCCTCGGTTCCAAGTAACTGTCACCGAGGAGTTTATGTCTGTCCCTGATCAGAGCGTCACAGTAACAGACTACATGCTCGGTAGTTTCCTCTACCTCGCCACAAAACCTGCACGCAGGGTCTTCCACAAGCCCAATATTGTGCAGGTGATAGTTGACCATCCAGTGTCCCGTGAAGACACCGACGATCTTCCTAATCTGACTTCTGTTTAGGTTTAGAAGCTTAGAAGACTCAGATTTGCCAAGAGGCCCTGTTAAAAAGGTCTTGGACTGTCTGAGTCCAGCTGCCTGTTGCCATTGAGCCTGGAATTGACTGGTCGCCCAGTTCTTAATCCTGACCCTGACAACTGAGGGAGCAATTCCAAGGGTGGGCTCAGGCCCGACAAGGACCCCACTACTGCCTTCGCGAGCCAACTCGTCCGCCCTTTCCTTGCCCCCTATTCCAGAGTGCCCCGGCACCCATATCAAGCTTACCCTATTAGACTCACCTAATCTATCTAGGGTTCGCCTACAGTCAAGCATCGTATTCGAGCGGATCCTGTCAGCTGACAGAGCCTTTAACGCCGCCTGACTATCACTACATATGTATATATGCTGGTTACGATAACCTCTACGGAGGTTTTCTTGCGCACAGGTCGTGATGGCTAGCACCTCTGCCTGAAACACAGTACTGTGCTGGCCAAGGGAGAGGCTGATGCCTACTCTCGGCCGGTCACCGTGTATACCCATGCCCGTTCCCTTTTCCGTTAGGGACCCATCGGTAAACCACACGAGCCCCTCAGGTTTGAGGAACGGACGATCTGGGTTCAGCCACTGCTCCCTGTCCGGGAGAATGACTTTATACCTCTTCGGTTCAAGTAGGGTAGCTCGAATCACGTCCCTTCTTGCGAGGAAGGGGTCGGACCTAAGAGTTTCCTCCCAGATCCGCCCGTGTCCGAGACTGCCTCTATCCTTCCACTCACCCCAATCATTTAGTCTTATGGAAGCCCTCCGGGCCTCGGCCTCTACCGATAAGTGTAGAGGTTCAAGTCCCAGAAGAGCCTCCACAGCCAACGTTGGCGTGGTTTTCATGGCTCCAGTGATTCCCAAACAAGCGAGTCGCTGTACCTTGCTCAGCTGCTTCTTGTATGTTACCCTGCGCGTTGCAGGCCACCATACAAGTGCGCCGTACAATATTATCGGCCTTATCACCGAAGTGTAAAGCCAATATACTAATCGAGGATTTAATCCCCATGTGCAGCCGAAAGCTCTCCTGCATGCCCATAGACATGCAGTGGCCTTCTTGCTAATTCGCTCAATGTGCCCTTTCCAGGACAGACGGGAGTCTATAGTGACCCCCAAATATTTAACTGCCCTGGTCAGACACAATTGGCGTCCTCGAAGGATGAGACCGTTAAGGTCCACATTCCGTCTCCTCGTAAATGGAACAATTTCGGTCTTTTCCGGGTTGACAGAGAGACCGTGGCTACTGCACCATCTATCCACCTGTCCAAGAGCCCTCTGCATGAGCTCTTTAACGGTGCTCGGAAACTTCCCCACAATGACAATTGCGAGGTCGTCTGCGTATCCCTGTGTATACGCTCCATCCTCGTTTAGTGTACGAAGGAGCCCGTCTCACACCAGGCACCACAGTAGTGGAGACAGTACTCCACCCTGCGGACATCCTCTAGTGACCGATGAGCTCATCTCCGTAGTTCCGATCGAGGTTATGATGACCCTGCCTCCAAGCATGGCCCGGATCCATCTTACGATTGACCCGTCAATGCCAAAGCTTTCAGCAGCCTCACTAATGGAATCGAACGTGGTGTTGTTAAACGCACCTTCGATGTCCAAAAAGGCTCCCAGAGCTACCCCTCCAGCAGACATTCCCCTCTCCAGTCTACACACGAGACTGTGAAGAGCCGTCTCCGTGGACATGCCAGCTCTGTAAGCGTGTTGAAACGGGTGTAGTGGTCTAAGGACCAGCGCCACGTTTCTTATGTATGCATCCACCAGCTTTTCTACCGCTTTTAAAAGAAACGATGATAGACTGATGGGCCTCTAATCCTTTGCTGTGTCGTACTTAGTACGACCCGGCTTAGGTAAATACACAACTCTGACCCTTCT